TGGTCCCCGACCTTGAATTGGTCCCCAACCTTGAATTGGTCCCTAACCCTGGACTGGTTCCAAACCCTGGACTGGTTCCAAACCCTGGACTGGTTCCAGTCTTGCAGACATTCCTCGGGCCTCGCAGAGGAACAGACACCATTTTACCCAGTCAGGTCGTGTTATTCTGAGCTCGTTGGTTAAATCCATTCGCTGACTTGTTTTTCTTTGTTTTGTATGAAAACAGGTTTAAAACGGGCCCTGGAGCTTCTGTTCCACCATTAATGAGGCGAATCAAAGCTCGCGTTATAAAACATGTTGATTTAATAACCAGATGTGACCGAAGTCTCCCACTTATTTAAGAACAGTGTCGTTCTTTCTGCTCCTGAAGATGCATGTTGGCTTCTGTAGTTTAGCATGTCTGACCCATCTTTAAACAGGAAACTAATATTAGATTCATTAGTTAACCAGGGACACATGGTTCAGTTTATTTTGTTTTATTTACCAGTTGCTGTCCAAAAACACAATCCTTTACTTTTTTATTTTTGGACTGATGGTTGGAGCTCATCCAGCTGTTCACCCACACATCACAACGGTGCAGCTGGTTAATGAGAATCCGATGGTTATCTGTGTTTTTAAATGGCTTTTTTAGTGAAAATGTAATTGAATATTTAAGAAACGACTCATCAATTAGGCAAGTCCTTGTTTTTTGTGTCTTCTTTCTTCTAACATTTTAAAACTTTGTGTATTGGAGCTTTGTTATAACATTTTCTTATTACCTAAACCAATGGTTTGAATATTTTAGATGAAAACTGGTTTTCAGGATTCAGATTTCTGGGAAACACCTCGATTTGTGAAGTAAAAAAGCAGCAGCTGTTGTCGCAGGAAGTGTAGCGCCTGAATCTGCTGCACTGAGCTGCAAGAACGAAACAGCTGTTGGCTGGTTTGAGTCTCGTTGTCGATGGTTGACAACAGGAAATACGACACAACAAAACTTTCTTTAGTCAGAGAAGCTGATGCAAATAAAACCACCAGTATATTTTAATATTGTAATGAATTATTCATTTAGTTTGAGAGGTTTGTTAGTTTTAGGCTTCGTGTGATTGTTTTCTGTGTTTGCAGCATGAATTCCTGACAGGTTTCTGTGCACGTGCACAGATATCAGTTTGTGTACTTGGCTCACCGACTCCACCAGTGTGATTTCAGTTTTTGCTTTCTTTGCACAGTGTCTTTGTGGTTGTATCTCTTAGCCCAGAGGAAATAAAACTCACTGATTTAAGCACAGAAATCTTGTCTCTTTACTTTCTGTCTGTGTTCAGCTCACAGGTTGTAGCATCTTTATGTAGGGAAGCTTTTAGTTTTGTTAAATAAACTCAAATTTTAGTTTTAAAACAGCTTTTCCAAATACCTGCAGGAGTTTAGATCATTGACGTCTGAAAGGGAAACAGATCCTGACGCTTCTTCTTTCTGTGAACTTTAAGATAAGAGAGAAGTTGAGTGATCCCGCAGGAAGTTGTTTAAGTTTATTTATGCACATCTAAACTTCTATCTGGTTTGTCTGCAAATTTTCTGCGCAAAGATTTCAGCGTTTTAACATTTGAAACATGACGAGAATAAAAAAAGGAAACTTGGGGGAAGTCGACCACACCCTGCTGAAGAATTGCAGGATGCAGCTTTTTCAAAATAATTTCACATTAATCCATCTTCTACAGCTTCTCTGGACTCGGGTCGCAGAGGCAACAGACCAGGAGAGAAATGGACATCCCTCTCCCCAGTGACACTTTCCAGCTCATTCTGGGGGACCCCGAAGCGTTCCCAGGCCAGAGAAGATGCTGTGACTTCTGGGACTTTCCCGGGGCCTCCATATTAGTGGGACATGCCTTGAAAACCAATGGGAGGTGTCCAGGAGGCATCCTAATCAGATGCCCGAACCACCTGAGCCGACTCCTTTGGATGGGGAGGAGCAGCGGCTCTACTCCAGGACATCCTTGTAAAAGAGATTGATGACCTCAGTGGATTTCTTCCTGGTAAAATAAAGGAATAAAAAAACTCAGAGCTCCTGCTGGATGACGGGGCTCCTCACTCTGTCTTTAAGTTTGAGCCCAACCACCCTACGAAGGAAGCCCATTTCATCCGCTTGTATCCCAGTTCTCATTCTTCAGTCTTCCATGTGGTATTGAAGAGACGTGCTGCTTCTACCCCTCAATAATATTCTCAGTTCAGATCAGCTGTTCCCCACCCAACACAAGCACAGCCTGGGATGGGGTCCGCTTTCCTGAGTTGCTGAACTGTTTGCCAGAACTTCCTTGAGGCCGACTGAAAGTCCTTTTCCATGGCCTTCCTGAATTCCTCCCATGTCTGAGTTTTTGCTTCCGCAGCTACTGAAGCTGCAGTCCTGACCAGCCTGTACCTGTCAGCTGCTCCAGAACAACCAAGTCCTAAAGGCCTTCTTCAGCTTGACAGCCTCCATCACTACTGGTGTTCACTAGTGGGTCCTTTGGTTGCCACCCCAAGAGACACCAGTGACCTTCAGGCCACAGCGCCTGGAAGCTGTGTCTGCAATAGAGGCCCTGAACATGGCACATTTGGATTCGTGTTCCCGACCTCCCCCGGGATATGTGAAATCCTCTCCCCGAGGTGTGAGTTGAAAGTTGCACGGACTGAGGGCTCCACCAGATGTTCCCAGTTCATCCTCACAGTGTTTGGGTTCACCAGGACTGTCCGGCAGCCTCTTCCCCCTCCACTGGATCCAACTCACCACCAGGTGGAGATCAGTTTACAGCTCTGCCCCCTCTTCACCCAAGTGTATGACATAGGGCCGCAGGTCAGACGATGCAATTACAAAACTGATATCGACCTTTGACCTAAGATGGCCTGGTACCAAGTACACTTATGAACCACCCTATGCTCAAACATGGTGTTCCTTATGAACAACCCATGCCTAGCACAGAAGTCCAATAAGAAAATACTATTCAGATCAGGGAGTCAATTCCTCCCAATCCCCAACTTTCCAGAAAATTCCTGTCATTGTCCACATGAGCACTGAAGTCACAGAACGAGGGACTCCCCAGATGGTGCCCTTTCCAAGACACCACGCAGAGACTCCAGAAAGGCTGGGCAGTCTGAACTGATGTTTGCTGTATAAGCACAAACAACAGTCAGAACCTCCCCTCCTGTGGCCCCAAGCCACAGAGAGGCAACCCTCTCATTCTCCAGGGAAAACTCCAAAACCGGGGACTTGTGAATATCCTCACACCCATGCAACACCTCTCTCCCTGGGCAGCTCCAGAGTAGGAGAGAGTCCAGCCTGTCTCCAGGAGTTGGGTTCCAGAGCCCAAGCTGTGCGTAGAGGTGAGCCCAACTATATTTAGTTGGTACTGCTCAACCTCACATACAAGCTCTGGCTCCTTACCACCAGTGAGGTGACATCCCACATCCCTAGAGCTAGTCTATGCCAGCAGGAATCGGCATGGCCAGAGGACCCCCACCCCCTCTCTTGCCGCCTGATATGCACAGCACCCAACCTTGACGGACCTCCCCGCAGGTGGTGGGTCCACGTGAAGGTGGCTTCCTGTCATTTCTTTGGGCTTGGCCTGGCCAAACCACACGAGCCAAGGCGCGACTGCCTGGCACTCAATGACAAGCTCTCCCCACCCACCACCCAATCCTCAGGCCTGGCTCCAGGGAGGTTCCCCAGTTTCCTTTTTCCTGGCGAGGTTTCCTGATGTATCTGTTGTTTTTTCCAACAAGGTTTTGAATAGCTCATTGTCTGAGTGACAAAACCATTTATGTCTCTTCATATTTATTTAGCTTTTAATTGTTTAATTTATTTACACATTTATAACAACTCATTTTTACTTTGCTTCCAAAGATCCATATTTTCCTGCAACCTGTAAAAATGGTCTGGAACAGCAGTCCTCCAGTTCTCTGAAAGTGCATAAACTTTTTCTTTGAACTTTGGCTGCTTTTTCTTTTGGTTAGTCTTTTTTCCTGAAGATTTTCACTGACCTTTGACCTCTGACCTCATTTAAA